CGCCCGCCCTGTGGGCCCAGACGCCAACGCCATACGGATCCTCTCTCCTCAAAACCTCCACCAGGACACTGCCATATTTCCCCCGCACAGGGACTTCTGGGAACGAAAAGGGGCTGGGCTCGAAGGCTCGTTTTGTGAGTGGCAGCCATTTCAACCAATCACCGCAGATATCCTATCTTGTTTCCCCCCCGCCGACCAATCCCATTTTTCTATAGGTGAGACCCAAGCGCTCCCCACCTCCCGGGGGTGGGCGGAACCTGGAGGAGCCTCACGTGACGGGGAGCGCAGGAGTGTAGGTGAGTGGTCGTGGTAGGGGCCGGGGCGGGACTTGGTGAAGAGCGCCAGCGCTTCAAACCTGACCTTAGAACGTCCTTGGCCGCTCAAGAGCAGTTGGAGCTTGGGCAAGTCCGTATCCTGAGCCCCAACGTCCCTCACTGTAAAAATTGAGTTGGAAATGCCTAAGCTGGCGTACGTGTACCGAGCCCGGTACCGCTGGGTGCTCAGTAAATTTCCTTCCCTCCCCGCCTACCTCTCGCTGCTGCGGGCGCGGGCGCTCATCGCTGCCCCTCCCCTGAGCCTGAGTGGCCCCGTCGGGCACACCAACTTCACCCGACTGCTCGTACTGACCGCCTCTTCCCCAGCGCCGGGAGAGAGTGACTTTCCTCCCTTTTCCTCGGGGTTTCCTTCTTCACCACCTAGAAGCAAGGCCAGAGCGATGGAGCTGTTCCTTTGCTCCTTGCTCAACTCGTGTGATTAGACGCCGCTGTGTGTCAGGCGCTGTGTTCAGCAGTGGATTGGCATTGGCCAATAAAGCAGATGTAGGATATAGAGCTTGCAGTTTAGTAGAAGATATAGACAGCGCAGGTAAACGAGTAAGTTAGTTACAACACACAATTCCTATCGCTTGTCTCTAGTTGTTTTCTCTATAGCATTTAACACTATCGTATCATACGTTTTCTGTTTTGATCTTGTTTAATGACTGTCTCTCCCACTCGGATGTAAGCTCCATGAGTGCAGGAGTTTCTCTTTCTTTACCGTTGTATCCCCTGCACCTAGAACAGTGCCTGGCGCATAAGTAAATATATGTTTAACGAATGAGTACACAATAGAAACAAATAGGGTGCTTGATGGAGAATGAGAAAGGGGGAGGCGCAAGGACAGTCTCTCAGGGGAGATGATGACCTTTAAATCAAGGCCTGAAGGGTAGAGAGAGTCGTCCAGGCAGAGGCAGCAACATGTGTTAAGGCCTGGCTTAAAGATGGTGCCTCTTAGGCTGAAAAGATAGAGGCTGAGAGGAGGAATGAACTGGCTCTTTAAAATTCACGACTGGCATGACCAACTACTCTACCAATTTCCAAAATAGCAGAGAAAGTAGGATTATTAAAACATGGAGAAGGTAAATGTAAGGCAAAGACTGATATGACAAACCCTCACACTGTATATCAGTTTACAATTAACTGAGTTCTTTATCTCACTTTAGCCTGCAAGACTGCAGGAGTAAGAAACTGGCATAAAGAGGGGACCAGACCTCATTCACTGATTGTGCATAGTAGTACATAGAACGCAATAAAAATAGATTGAATCAGTGTAACACCATGCTAGGCTCTGTGAAGATAGGGACAATGTCCTGTTTAGTTCCATTGCATCCCAGCACTTAGCACTGTGCCCGGCTCCCAGATCATATTTATAAACTGAATGAACACTCTCCAGTCACTGGGAACCTTCCTTACGCCAGGCTGTGCTTGGTGGTAGAATACAGAAAGAATGACATGGTTTTTGTCTCCAAGGGAGTCCCAGTCTGCTAAACCTTCCTGAGGTCATAGAATTCATAAGTAGTAAAACTAGATTTTCTGAAACCAAACCCTCTACTAAAGAAAGATTTATTGCAGACAGAGGGACTGCCCTCCTAAAACCAATGATACTAAGTGTTAAGAGAATTTAGATAAAGTCTGATCAGGAAGAGCCTTGGACACCAGGCGAGGAGATTGGAGCTGCTAGAGATTACTAAGCAGAGGACTGGTGTCGTCAGAGCTGGTGGCAGGTGCGCTGATGGATGGCATAGGGAGAGACTGGAAGCACATCCTTTGGGATTGGGGGGGGGGTGTAAATGTGGGTGGGAAGCAGGAAAAGTGGAAAAGATCTTAAAGGTTTGGACTCCTGTGGACTGATGGCGAACCCAGAAATGGGACTTCCCTCCTCTACAGCATACTTGGTGGTTTGCTCCTCTGCTTTCCCACAGACATGGCCCACACCTCCATCCTAGCATTATGCACAAATGAAATTAGTGCCATTTGGAGGTCCTGAGATGCCCATAAAATTCGATGACAGTGTGGTAGGTAGGGCCCATGGTCTATGCCAGCCCAGTGTGAGCACTGGGAATTGGAGATGAAGATACCGCCCTCCCCTGCCCTCTGGAAGCTAGAAGCCTAATGAGAAAGAGCACCATCCCGGAGGTACTGGCCTTACCACTTCTGGCTTCCTCACCGAGGCCTCAGTTTTTTCCTCTGTAGAATAAGGAAGAGTATGGCCTACCTACACATGGCTGTTAGGAGGATTGAGTGAGGCAGTGCAAAGCACTTGGCACAGACTCTGGCCCAGTATGTGGCATCGATTCTTGTAATGGTTATTACCTGTTTAGTGGATGACTCTACCAGTAGGCCAGGAGCTCCTCAAGGCCTGGGAAGAGTGACTGTCACCGCTGTGTCCCAGCACCTCGTTCCTGCCTAGTAAGGAATGAATGGGAGGAAATCAAAAGCTGGGAGAGCTTAGAGGTAGTTGAATTTTAGAGGCATGCTATTTACAGCAAATAATACTGTGACATCAGACTTCCTGTCAGCTCTGCTCTCAGTGTCAAGAGGTTTCTTTTTGACTTGCTCGTGGAATTTTAAATGAATAGTTTGCTTGCAGGTGAGATGATCAGGTCTGTTTCCATATGAACTGTAGATTTCCACATGTAACTATGGAGAACTCTGACAAATCCCAAACTGTCCTCGCAGAAACATTCCAAGATAATTCCTAGCCATTTAACTTTTCCTCACTGATCTGTCTTTCACACAATATTTATCTAATACCCGAAATCAAGCTCCTTTCACATAACACATAGGTTAAAAAAATAACGACTGTGCTGTTTCATAAAATGAATAAAAACAGGACTCTGCCCTCAAAGAGTTCATAATCTCAAAAAGGAGATATGCATGAACATGTAATTTCTGAACAATGTGAATACTTTAAGATAGAGACTCATTCGTTTGAGAAGTGTTTATTGAGCACCTACAATGGCCAGGAGTCATCCAAGTTTGGGAAATACTGACAGGAGGGAGTGATGCCAGACAGGCCTTCACCTGCACCTGTTTTCTTCCTCTACTCACCGTTCCTCCTTTGGTGTCAGTTACCCAGATCTCCATCTCAAGACTCATATATCTAGACCTGTTTAATCCAACTCACAACTGAATTTTTCACTTGGATGCCCCATAGGCACTCAGCATACCTCAAACTGAACGTATCATCTTTACCCGCTTCCTCCTTCCCCTGAAACTCGGCTTCTTCTCTTGAGCCCACTGTCCACCCTGGGATCCAAGCCAGACTCCTGGATGTCCCTCCACCCCCTCCATCCCCCTCACTCCCTCGCATCTATCAGTCTGTATGTCCTGTTCATCCCCCTTCGGTATTTCTCTAATTGACCCCTGTCCTCTTATCCCACTTGAGGCTGCCCTGGTCCAGATCCTCATCACATCTCACCTGGACCATCACAACCTCCTCCTGTTTTCCTGTGGTTGTTCTGAATCCCGACAGACCAGAGTTAAAATCCCATTTTAGGAGCTATGTGACCTTGGGTAAGTTATTGAACCTCTCCAGACCCCAGGTTCTCATTTATAAAATGTTGTAAAGATTAAATGAGATGCAACAATTTGGTGGGTGACTTTCACCAGCAATGCTGAGTGAAAGAAGCCAGACACAGAAGAATACATTAGTTTGATTTTACTCACATAAAAGTGAAAACTGGGCAAAGCTGAACCGTGGTGGTTAGGGTTGCAAACAAAGGTGGCAAAACTAGGAAAAATGAAGGAAATGATTATCCCAGAAGTCAAGATGGTGTTTACCTGGGGGGAAAAGGAGTGTGATCAGGAAGCCACAAAAGGGTAGCTTCTGGGAAGCTGGCAAGGTTCTTTTTACTTAACTGAGTGATAATTATACAGGTGTTCTCTTATAATATTTTTAGTTGATTTTGTGTGTGTGTGTGGCTGGCCTGTATGGGATCTGAACCTGTGACCTTGGGGTTATAAGGCTGTGCTCTAACAAATCTTTTTTTTTTTTTTTTTTTTGGCAGCTTGGCTAGGAAGGGGATCTGAACCCATGACCTTGGTGTTACCAGCACCACACTCTCCCAAGTGAGCTAACCAGATAGCCCTATTTTTTATAATTTTAATTATTGATTAAATTTTATATACATGTTTTATTTCATCATTTAAAATATTTTTTTAATTCAGTGGGATTTTCCATGTAAAGTGCTTAACCCAGCACTCAGAGCACAGGAAGAGGTAAGGAAACCTTGGTTACCAGGCTGTGTTTGGTAGTAGAATATAGAAAGATTAAGACACCATCTTTGTCCTCAAGGGGGTCCCAGCCTGCTGAACTTTCCTGCAGTCATAGAGCTCATGAGCAGTAGAACCAGGTTTTCTGAAGCCAAACCCCTTCTATTAAAGAAAGATTTATTTCATACAGAGGGACTGACCTAAAACCAGTGCCAAGAAATGGTAAGTGCTCCCCACCCAACAGCAGGTTCCATGGTTGATCCATATCTGTCTCCATTGATTGCACAGAGCCTGGCACCTGCAGGCCTCAGGGAGAAAGTGAAGAATGGAGGAGACCAGAGTATAACCCCCATGTTTTCCTTCTCACAGGCCAGCAAGGGAGGAGGGCCTGGGCCTGTGCCTCGCAGAAACTGGCCTGCTCTGGGAAGACACCCGGTGTCCCTCCCAGGCTGCCCAAGCCCACTGCCGATGGGCGAGAGGAAGGATGATGCTGCTGAGGAAGCCTGGCTGCAGCTGCGGCCCATAGAGCCCCTGCCCTCCCAGTGCTGCGGCAGCGGCTGTTCACCCTGCGTGTTCGACCTCTATCACCGAGACCTGGCCAGGTGGGAGGCAGCCCGAGCCCGCCAGGACAGGAGCCTGCTAAGTGGAGAGGACTCACAGGTGAGAGAAGCTGCTCCTCAGACAAGAGGGCCAGGGTGGCAGAGTCTCCCTGGCCTTGGCCCTGCTCGGTGCACCTGCTCTGGGAAGCCTCCCCCCGACTGGGCAGCAGAGAGCAAAGAGTGCACAATGGAAGCAGACAGCTCCAGGCTCAAGCCCCAGCCCTGCAGCCAACTTATTAGCAGCTGTGTGGGTTTAGGCAAAGTCCTTTCATCTCCGTAAGCCTTAGTTTCCCCATTTGTAAAGTGGGGATAAACATTTGTGGCCTTTAGCACAGAGCCTGACATGCATTTGATTTAACAAATGTTTATCAACTACCTATTATATACCAGGCCCTAGACACACGGGATTTGAGAGAGAACAAGACAGTCAGTCATTGCCTTCATACAGGAAACTAGCATTTATATAGTCGTTTCTACTAGGTGAATAGAGGATGTTGTTGTTATTTCTTCTCTGGCCCTTATGGACTTTTTCCTCCTTTTCTGAACTCCTATGGGATTGCAGGGTCTGGACCAAGCAGTTTAGCCCTTCATTATAATGTTTGAGAGAGTTCACAGTTACAATTACAGATGTCAGAACACTGTAGAGTTCAACCCTTTTATTACACAGATAGGGAAACTGAGGACCCATTTCTTCTGTCACTGTGTGTAGGTCTGATTTCGAATCTGTCCCCATCTGGTCTCCCACCTCTGAATGGGCTTCCCATTGTTCATGTCCCTTCCAACTAGTGTGGAATAGGGATCTCTCCTCCCTTTTCCACATCTGTTAATGCAGTCTGGCCTCACCATCACTTTTTGGCCAACCATTCTCCATTCTTGGGGTCCAGACTGGACCAAAGCTCAGTCATTTTTATACATGTTTCTAAACTATAGAATATACATCCTGCACAAATACAGTTGTTTTTTGAATCTTAAAACATGACTTTATATTTATCCCTGTTAAATGTCCCTTGTAGTTCTGCCACTTGGAGAGTGGTAGAGGAGACCAGAGCCCTCTGGCCTCTGCCGGCGACTGGGGGAATGTTCATGACAACTTTTGTGTTTCTTTCTTCTTGTTGCCCACTATGCCTGCATGGCTTACCCCTTCACTTCTTTCTGATCTCTGCTCAAATTTCATTTCTCTTCTTAACTCTCAGTATCACCAGACACCATTAAGATGTACTTGTTTATATGTTTATTGTCTATGTCTCCTTGCTAAAATATAAGTTCTGAAAGAGAAGGAGGCGCTGTCCTGCTCACTGTTCTCTCCTCAGTACCATGAGCATGTCCTGGCGTTACAGTCAGCACTCAATAATAAGTACTGGTTGAACAAATGAATGAGTTTCTCCCAGATCTGCTGAGTACCATGTCCTGTGTGCTCAGCGCAAAGAGGTTGATGATGAAAGTATCTTGCCAGGGTACCAGCCCTCAAAAAACCCAGTTTATAGAAGAGGGACAGAGAACCACAAGGATGTGATAGAAAGGGCATGAATGGGCCGGCCTGGTGGTGCACTGGAGAGTGCGCCACTTGGGAGCACGGCGGCACTCCCGCCGAGGGTTCGGATCCCATGTGGAGACCGGTTCCCGCTCACTGGCTGAGTGTGGTGCGGGCGCAACACCTAGGGTTGCGATCCCGTTGCCGGTCCCCGGTACGGGCGCAACACTGAGGGTTGCGATCCCGTTACCGGTCAGTAAAAAAGACAAAAAGGAAAAAAAAAAAAAAGAAAGGGCATGAACTAAGACCCAGTTCTGACAGATAATTGTGTGATGTTGGGCATGTCACTTTAGTTTGCTACACCTCAGTTTTCTCATCTGAAAATGGGGATGGTAATACTTTAGGTTGTTATGAAGATTTCATGGGATAAATACATAAAGTACCTGGCACATAGTAGGTGCACGGTAAATAGTAGCTGTTATCACCTATTATAGCAAATGGAAAGTGGGATGATAATACAAATTTTGTCTGTCTTATAAAATAGCATATTTCCACTGGGAGTGCAGCAGTGCTCCCGCCGCGGGTTCAGATCCTATATAGGAATGACCGGTGCGCTCACAGCGCTCACTGGCTGAGCGCAGTGCAGCCGGTCTCAAAAAGGACAAAAATAAAATAAAATAAAATAGCATATTTCAATCTAATGATAAATTTCATTTTTAACTTTTAATGAAATAATAATAATAGAAAAAGATTTTACATTTCCATAGCAATTTATATTTTATAACATGATTTTACATTGTTCTCTCACCTGACCCTCATGATAACCCAATAAAGTTATCAGGGATGAGAAGCACCATTCTACAGATGAGGAAAGTGAGACCCAGAGCATCAAATGATATGCCTAAGGCCCCACAGGTGGACAGTAGCTGAGCGAGACTAAACCCAGTTCTCCTGACTCCTAGCTCCGTGCTATTTGCAGAGCACCAGGCAGCAGTGACAGAGGGTGCCCGGGTGTTCTGGCTGATGATAAAGAGGTCATCCTGGCCTGGATGGGGGATGGGGGTGGGGTGCAATGGAGACAAAGCCTCCGATGCCAAGCCTGAAAGTTTGTCAATTCTATGACACTGTCAGCACTACTCTGTGTAACTGGGGTTCCAGAATTGGAACACATGGTGCTAGGCCTTGAGCTGAGCATGGGGGGATGGTCCCAGGAGTGAATTGACTGAGAGCATATTACATGAGAGAGAACTGTTAGTTGTGGCATTCAGAGAAAGCTTCCTGGAAGAGGTGCAGATGAGGGTAGAATGTTAAGGGCAGTGGGCTGAGACTTAGAATACATGAATTTAAGTCCCTGCTCACAGTGTGACCTTGGACAAGTAAGTCACTACCACTCAGGCCTCAGTTTCTCCATATGTAATATAAAGACATGGGGTTAGATCATCTTTATGGTCCCATCAGTTTCTAAATTCTGCAAATCTGGAGTTTAACAGGTTTAAAGGATGAGTAGGTCTTTCATACATTGGAGATGAATGTTCTGGACAGAAGGCACAGCCTGAGCAAATAAAGACTCAGAGGTAGGAGGCAGCAGAGGTAGAAGGGTATTCTTGGGAGGATGGGAAAAGTCTGATGCACGGGAGGTAAAATGAGGCTTTAGAGTCGTCCACTGGGCCTTTGAGTGTCCAGCTAAGGAGGCTGCACTTTATCCTGGGGCTGAGGGAACCATGGGAGGCACTGTAAGCTTAATATAAAGTGCTCTGGCATTCTTAGGCCAAAGCATGAAATGGAACTAAGGTGTAACTCTGTTACACAGGACACTTACCTGCTGAGACAGCCTCTCCTTGGGGAAAGTGGGAAGGATGCATGTTGGTGCTTGTGTGTCCCTTGAGCCCTGGATTTTAGCTGTTGGATCTTTTCCTATTGCAGAGCTGCCCCTCCAGCCTGAGCCCAGAGACCTTCCTGGCCTTCCACATCAGTGCCATGGACAAACTCACTGAGGATACCTACTATGTCCGGTTTGCACTACCTGGGAACAGCCAGCTTGGCCTGCGGCCTGGCCAGCACCTTGTCCTACGGTACACTCAGGTAGCGGGAGGACCAAACTTTACAGCCCTGCTTTGCCATTTGCTAGCTGGGTGGCCTAGGGCAACTTGCTTAACCTTCCTTAAGCCTCCATTTGTCATCTTCAAAGGAGACATAGTAATACATGAGGGTTCTTGGGATTGAACTCAATAATGCATTTTCCTAATAAATAATAGTAACATGAGCACTTTAATAGCATTTACCATCCCAGGCACAGTTCTGTGTGCTCATATGAGTGAACTCATTTAACCCTTACGAAGTTCTGTGTGCTAGATGCCATTATCATCCCCAGAGAAAATTGAAGTCTGAGAGCTTCAGGCACTTGCCCAAGGTCACACAGTTAGGAAATGTTGGAGCCAGGATTTGAAGGCAAGCAGTCTGGCTCTAGGGTCTATTGTATTAACTTAATATTATTAGCACCAGTTGATAGAAAGGACACTGTCATTGAGAATAAGGGACTTGCCCAATATCACATAGCTAATAAGTCATGGAGCCAGGATTCTAGCCCAGACAGCCTGGCTCCAGAGTTACACTCTTAACCACTCCTCAGAGGTTTCTTCTTCCTCCCACCCTACTTTGGCACTCTACTGACACCCCAATCTCCACTCCTAGCTGCACAGGGACAAGACCCTTTGAGATGTCCAGGTGGTGATGACTGCCGGGCAGTTGGCTCTATGGGTCTGAGACTTAGCAGAGAAATTTGAGCTGCGTGCGTGGATTTGGGAGTCATTGGCACATCCCTGGATGGCATGTGGGAATGTGTGTGCATGGAAAGAGGAAAGGGCATAAGACTGAGTCCTGGAAAAACCAGCGTTCATGGTATTGGCAAGAGAAAAAGGAGCTGATAAAGGAGACAGAAGGTGCAGCCAGAGGACAAGTTGGGAACCAGAAGAGAGCTTATTGCTGGTCAGACTCTGGCCAGTTGCCTCACACTGGCCCCTGGTGTTTGCGTCCAGTTCATTCTGGCCTGTGTCCTGGCTGGTGGTCCTTGAAGTTCACTATTCCAGTGGGCAAGAGGGGCCACAGGGCAGGTCACAGCCCCACGCAACCCTCTATCCATAAACCAGGGATGCACAGAACTCCCTGCCTCTAGATTAGCTCCTCTCCTCCCTCCTCTCTGCCACTCCAGTGACATTCCTAACACACACATCTAACCAAGTCACTCCCTGTTCAGATACCTTCTGGTGCTTCACATTGCCTGCATGATGACATCTTAACCCAAGACCTTCAGCTTCCTTTCCCACCAAGTTCTTCTCCCTCCCTCACCCCATACACGCCCCTTGTCTCAGCTCCTGATCCACTTCCGGTTCCTGACTTGCCCACATTGTCCTACCTCTACTCTTTTGCCCAGGCTATTCCCTCTGCCTGGAATTACTTCCTTCTGTCCCCACTTTCACCTGTCAGTGGCCTGCTCGTCCTTCAATACCCAACTCCAGGAGGCTTCTGCAGTTCCCCAAATGAGAGTGGTCACTCCTTCTGAAACATGTCAGTTTTTACCTCTTTTGCCACAGATGTCATAGTGCTCTTTGCATCGAGGCCATGTCATATGTTCTGCTCCTTTTTTTCTCATTTGTTTCATAAGCCTTTATTAAATATTTACATCCAGCTCCCCTGCTTTTGATGCATTAGGACAGGGCCTTTTTAATCTTTACATACCTCAGAGAAGAAAGTTTTACACATAGTAGGACTTGAGAAAGGAGTGCTTAAGTGCTCTTGGGAAGCTTTGAGGAGTAAGGTGAGGAACCTGGCTCTGGAGTCAGAGCTGTGATTGAATTCTAGCCCTGCCAGTCCACAGCCATACCACCCTGAACGTGCCTGATCTCATCTGAATTCTAGCCCTGCCAGTGACTTCCCTTCTGTAAGCATTGGATTCTGTGTTTGGGTCATTATTTGAGTTAAATGAGATAACGCATATAATATGCTTGGTGCATAGTAGGCATTTAATATGACATGGCTATTATTATCACTCATGATTGTTATCCCTATCCCATTGTTGATAACATTGTAGAGAGGATTCATGTGTGGGATAGAGATTTGGACTAGGGCCTCTTTGAGGATCCTTCCAGTTTCTCTGAGAAGAGATCAGGAAAAACCACAGTAATGTCCCCAAAACAGCTCACATCATCAGTGCACTTTTTTTTAAAAATTTTTATTTATTTATTTATTTATTTATTTATTTATTTATTTATTTATTTATTTATAAAAGATGACCGGTAAGGGGATCTTAACCCTTGTCTTGGTGTTGTCAGCACCACGCTCAGCCAGTGAGCGAACTGGCCATCCCTATATGGGATCCGAACCTGTGGCCTTGGTGTTATTAGCACCGCACTCTCCCGAGTGAGCCACGGGCCGGCCCATCAGTGCACTTTTTGAAGCACTCTCCCATCTTTAATCCCAGTGGAGCCACAAAACCAGAACACAGATGGCTTTTCCAATTTTATAGAAAGGGCAGCTAAGGGATTAAATGACCAGCCCGGGGTCTCACAGCCAGCACATGGCAGTGGGTGATCCCAGTGCCCTTTTTTATGCTGCCCCTTGCCTGCCCTTCAGTGAGATCCTCTGGGGATGACTGGACCTCCCCTTCACTTTCAGCAGCCTGGCAGAGGAGGTACCTGATAAGGGTTTGTTGAATGACTGGCTGACTGCCTGACTGTGTGCTTCTCTTTCCCAGAGGGATAGTAGATGACTTAGAAATTCAGAGAGCCTATACGCCCATCAGCCCTGCCAATGCAGAAGGATACTTTGAAGTTTTAATTAAGGTGAGTTGACTGTCAAGGATGCTGTAAGATGCCACGGACTGGTGTCTCCTTGGCCAGCTTGGTCAGGATGGGGCAGTTCTCACTGACATGAGAAAAGCCATTGTTCACATGGGAGGAGGCTGACTTGAGGGAGGAGAGGGGACAGGTGAAGAAGGCCTTCTCCTACCTCCTTCTTTCCTGGGGAAGGGGAGATGCCCAACAGAGGACATATTCTTGACACATTTTAGTAAAAGAAGGCTCTCATAGAGAAAGGGAAAGCTGCTCATTCTCACCTTTTTACCCGTCAATGAAGAGTGAACACTGAGCTGGCAGGGGAAGGGAAACCAAGTCCCTCCACACCTACTGTGTGCTGGGTACTGGAGTCCAGAGGTGAGTCAGACATGGTGCCTGCCCTAGAGAAACCCAGGCCAGGACAAGTGACCAGACCAGGACCATGCAGCACGACAGATACCATGACAGAGGAGGCCCAGCCCAACTCGGGGAGCTGGGGGTGCAGGGAAGACAGGCTGGGGTTCCTAGCAGAAGCCATATATTTAAGGACAGGAAATTAGAGGGAAAATGTGGGCAGGAAGCACTGGGAACAGTGTGGCCGGTGGCAAAAAGGGGCATGACTGGGGGAAGTAAGTTATTCATCCTGGAACAGAAGGGGGGCATGCCAAGGCAGCAGGATGCAAGCTGAGAGAATCAGGCAAAAGGTGGGCCATGGAGGACCTCGTGGACTGAACTAACCTGACATCACCTCTCAGGGGAAGTTGGGCAGGGGCAGGCATTTGAGTTGGGCCTTGAAGAAGGAGTACAACCTGGCAGTGGCAGGGAATGGCACTCTAGGCCAAGGGGATGGATAACCAAAGGCAGGGAGGGGTGAAATAGAACAGGTCATCTGGGAACTGTACCCAGTCTGAGTGGTGAGGGGAGAGGGTGCTTGTGGAGGAGCAGGGGTTGGTGGAGGAGTGGGCAGAGATGAGATGGACAGATAGGTTGGATACAAAACACCCTGGAGACCCAAGGAATAGATAACAAACCTATAAGAAGTCATGGAGGTCCAAGTACATGGACAAAACAATTAGGTTGAACTACATGAAATTGTTGATGCTCTAACATTTTTGACTTACAGAAACAGCAGTTTCGTATGGCTCAACCTAATATATAGCTCTAGATCATAATTTCCCAAATGGGATCTTAGGAAATACCAGTATTTAAGAGTAGCTTTCACTTCCTTCATCTCCTCTATGAGACATGAATTATTATCCCTGTTTCATTGATAAGCAAACTGAGGCCCTAGGAGGACCCAAGGCTCCACAGCTAGTAAGATGTGCTGCTGGTGGGTAAGCCCTGGCCCCCTGACTCCGAGACCCCAGCACTGTCTCTGGCTTCTGCCTTCCCTGCCTGCCTTCAGAACCTGAGTGTTTATTCCCTCACACATAAGCTTGGATGGGATCCCTTCTCCACGCAACTGTTTGTCTGGGAGATTCCACAAATCCTCTCCAAATGGCCTGCTTCCCCAAGCTGCTTGTCTGGGTATGTTTCTGTTGAAAGGATAAGCCTGGAGACAGTTCTTCAGGGCAGCTGGATCTCTCCCAGCTGCAAGGCTGATTTTCTCCTTCGTTTACCGGGAAGCCTCTCTTTAGAGAGATGCTTAATTATCCCTAAGCTGCTGGCTAGGAAGAGCTGGAAATGTCTTTGCAAATGGGGAAGGCAGGCGGGGTTTTATAGGTTTACCCTCCCAGGTAGAAGGAAGGAGGAACTCCCATTTCTCAGGCACCTTCTGGGCACTAGGCACTGCTTCTAGCTCTTTATTCTCATTGTCTCATAACCACCCTACAGAGTAGATCATATTATCTCTATTATACGGGTGAGAAATTGAAGCTTCAATGTCATTGTCCCGAGGCCCCTCAGGTAATAATCGTATGATCTAAGTGGAAGGACAAAAGTTCCATGTCAATTCTATTTAACAAGAGTGTATCAAGCATTTCCTCTGTGCCAAGCTCTGTGTGGGTGCTGGAGACACGGAAGAATCCTTCCCTTCTCCTTGGGTGCCATCTGTGCCAGAGGGCCTCTAAGGTCACAGCTGGGGTTGTGTCTCCCCCAAGACTGGGGCAAAAAAACAAAGCATGCTCTGCGACACAGCCTTCAGCAAAGCAGGAGAAAAACCATACCCTCCTTCCCAGACCTTGTCCAGGTAAGCCAAGGGCTTCCCTTGCTTTATGCAGATGGTGCCCAAGGAAGTCAGGAGTGGTATTGGAGATGGCTATGGGTGCTTCAAAGCAGGTCTGGGGACCAAAGCCCAGTCTCTCCTTCAAGTCTGGCTATAATCTCACTCCACACACTATTCTAGTCCTGTCTCCCCACGCTTCCTGCACATCCCCACTCTACCATGTTTACTCATTCTTCCCAAAACACAACCCAGCCTGTTCTACCATCCCATGCCTGATGTCCAGAATCCTTTCTGCACTCCTGCTCCCATTCCCAGTGAATTTGATCTTGCCCATCCTTCAAAGTCCAACTGAAATGCCTTCTCTTCCAGGAATCCATCCTTGATCCCTCTCCATGGAAGTGACTGCATCTTCTTTAGGGTTCTCCTAGCACTTTATCCTTCTCATGGAGTATTAGGTCATCTCTACCTTGTGTAATGTCTGAGACTTAGGTCTCTCCTAGATTGTGAGCTCCTTAAGGGGAGATCCTGAATCTCGATTAATTGGTTGATTGATTGATTGAATCATTCATTCACATATTTATTAAGTCCTTCCCATGGTTCAGACACTGGCTACCTTCATGGAGTTTAAGGTCCAGCTGTCTTCCCTGCAGCCCCAGCATGGTGCCTGGCACAGAGTGGGCAGGCACCCAGGAAATGTGGACTCCCCTCCCCGCATGGAGGAATCCCTTCTACAATCTTCATTTTTTCATCCATCCAGGAGATGGTGTAGGATAATGCAGAGATTACAAATGCATGGCCTGCAAACTGAATCCAGTGCACAAATGTATTTGGTTTTCACCTGCATAGTGTTTTAAATTTTTGAATTAATTGCTGACATTTCAGAAATGGGAGATTTTAAATAAAAATATGGACTTCCTGCTTCTCTTGGAAAATCAGAAGATCTGGCATCATCAGCCCACAAACTATTGCCTGAAAGCTCCAAAGTGGCTTCCCTCTTTAGAAGGAGCATTCACTCACCAATTTATCATAGTTCCCACCACTCCCTACTGTCGCCCTGACACTGAGACTGAGTGTTAATTGCCATTAATGAAATCATCACCAAGTTCTTCATTTAGTTGTATTACCTGCATGTCCTTTATACGCATTTGGGTTTGAGACCTCTGGGGTAGTTGCTATAGATACTATGGATTCTTATCCCAGCCTTGCTATCTACCTTCTGGGTAAGCTTCTTGGCCTCATCTGAAAATTGGGAATAACAGTACCAACTTTGCAGGATGAGGAGGAAGATTAAATGAGATAATATATGTAAAGAACTTAGTATTGCAGGAAGAGCTCCACATTAATGGCTAATCTGATTTGTGTTGGCAACATGTGCCTGTCCCACTGAGATCTTCCTGTGTTTGCTTCCAGTGCTACCAGACTGGGCTGATGTCCCGGTATATCGAGTCCTGGAGAGCAGGAAACACAGCTTTCTGGCGAGGACCTTTTGGAAACTTCTTCTATAAACCAAACCAGGTCAGTGCTAGCACCCTAGTCCTTAGGAGATCCCCTTTGGCTTATCCTCCAGGGATGTGCTTTTCATGTTTCAGGCCATGGAATCTCACTATGCCGTTCTCCCTGAGCTTGAACCCAATCCTGAGAATATCCTTGGGTTTGGACGCAGTGGAGATGCAATAGGCACTAATAAACAAAACTGCCTGCCCGTGCTCTATGAGTATCCATGGCTGCCCATTACTTAGAAAATCAGACTTGTGTACTTAGTGTTTAGGACCCCATACCATCTGGCCCTCAGATACCTTTCCAATTTCACATTTCAGTCACAAGACTAAATATATCCCATGGCTTCCTAAATATACACTGTAGTTTCCTAAATACACGCCATGACTCCCTGCTTGGGGCCCACTGCCTCTGAATATGGAAGGCTCTTTCCCTCATCTTCATGGCATGTGAAAATCCTTCCCCAACTTTCCCAGAAAGAATTTGTTATTTCTGATCAGTTGGTGCATATCTGGAAAGCAGTTTGGCAGTATGTATCAAGAATCTTCAAATCCTTTGACCCAGTAATTCCATTTCTGGAAGTCTGTTCTATGGAAAGAATCCAAACTGCTTACTCTTTTGCATGTATTCATTGCATCTTTCCTTATAATAGCAAAAAATTGGAGGCAACTGAATATCCAACAACCATAGCTAAGTACACTGGGTTACAGCTACTTGACAGAATATTATCCTGGATTTTAAAATTGTGTATATAAATGATGTTATTACATGTCTATGCCATACGATCAAGTGACAAACACCAGGTACCAAAGTGAATATACAACAGGTCGGTTAAACCAAGTTAAAATGCACAGAAAAAATATGAAGAGAAAATGCAATGACATGTTAGCACCTCTGGGTGGTAGAATTATGGGTGATTTTTATTTTCTTCATTATACTTTCCAAATTATCTGCAATGAACACATATTACTTTTATAATTGGGAAAACAAAGCAAAACAGAAACAAATGGAAAAGAATGAATCATGCCTTCTTGTTCATTCTTTTTATTTAATTTAAAAATAGCTTTTATTGTTTTTTCCTTATTACAAATGCAGTACATGTTTATTACCAAAAAAATCAGCAGATATAGAGAAACAAAAACAAGAAAATAAAAAACACCCACAGGCTGTCTACTCAGACACACCAGTCTTACTACCTTGTATGTCCTTTCAAATCCTCTTCCATGTGTGGGTGTATATACAAATGTGCACAAGCACACACATACACACATGTATGTATGTATGTATGTATAATGATATCAAACACGTATTTGACACCTATGTGCCAGGCTCTGACCTTGCTGTGCAGTAACTCATTTAATCGTCACAACAGCTCTTAGGTACTACTGCCCCCATTTTATAGATGTGTGGGGTGCATATATAAATACTCTTCCACAATATTCTCCTCATACGATGCTTAGCACAGCATTTTTAGCAGAGTATGCCCCTGTCCCCAGGCCCTTGAGAGCAGGGAATAGGAATTGTTCCTGTTTCCTCCTGGCCTAGAATGGACATCGTATGACTATTGTCCTGACCACCTTTTCTGGGTGGAGCCTCTCGATGACTGGGGCTACTCCTTTTCATCCACAGAACACTTGAAGGCCCCTGCATTTCTAATCTAGGAAGGTTGTAGGGCCCAGCAGTGAGAAAAAAGAGATGGCATCTCACACAGTAATATTTAGCCCCTGAATTCCAGCTAAGTCTTGGCTTTGCTCCCATGAGGACGCTCAGGGTGTTCCTGCCCTCTTCTAGTCCATTTTTCTGCTCTGCAGTTGTTTCCATTACAGATGGATACTACATCAACCCTGAGGACTGACACGTTAGCATCTGTCTGTGCATTCATTCAACGTACAGACACAAGTATCCACCCAGAGCCCCGCCTATGCTGGACTCTGGAGACCCAGAGATAGGTCAGACAAGGCCCCTGTCCTCCAGAAGCTCACAGTCTGACGGGAGAGACACACACATACAGATGACAACAACACAGTATGACCAGTGTTCTGCAGAAGGATGCACAGGAAACTGTGGGAACACAAAGGAAGGACCCCTCCCAGCTCAAGGAAGGCTTTCCAGAAGACAACCTGAGCTGAGTTGGAAGAAAGAGGAGGAGCATGGCAGGCTAAAGACTTGGAGGCTGGAGAGAACTCAAATATAGGACAGAATGGCATGGCCATTCCTGACAGTAGCTGACAGGAGGGAGTCTCAGGAGTTAGCAAGCGGAAGGAATCTAATTGGATTAAGCCTAGGCTCCGCACCAGGCACTTTATGTCATTTCATTTAATCCTCACAACAGTTCTGAGATAGGTGCTATTACCAGTGGAGAAATTGAGACTCAGATTGGTGAAAGAGCTAGCCAAGGTTAGGTGGTTGGGGATTTATACACAGAGACCTAATCTCTAGAAGGAGGGAGGTGAATAGCTCTCTGCATGGATCATGCACTAACCATTAAGGCATTGATCTTAAAGAGGATTGCCCTTCTTTAAGAGACCTAGAGCCTGGAAATGGGTTCAGTGAGGAGGAGTTTATGGAACCAGGTCCTCTTGGAGTGAGAACTTACCTTTATTGCTTGGCTCTCTTGTGCCAGTGCTGTGCTAGGCACTTATGTATATTATCTCATTTGGTCTAGAGAAGAGCAGGCTCAGGGGTCCAAGCTGGGGCCCTGAGATCTCTGCTGGGCTGCCCTGGGGTTGAGGAAGCAGCCCAGAGAGCAGGGATGGGGTAGGGTTGGGGAGTGGGCAAGGCTTTGGTGGGAACAGGTTCAGCTCAGTGTGAGGTGGAGAGCCCTCACAGACAAGGGAGTTGGCGTATAGTAAATAAAGCAAGCTGCCTTGGAGGTAAGGAGCTCCCTATAGTGAGCAGAAGTATATAGGCAGAGAGTCCTTGTGATGGTGCTTTAGAAGGCAAATAAGCCACTTACAGGATGGCCTACACCGATATGTTCCCATTCAGCCTCAAGATTTCATAATCTCTGACCTCACATGCCTTTCACAAGGGAAGATGGCTTCCTGGAAGAGGTAGAAAGAGGACAGAGATGGACACCCAGGAAAAGCATTGCTGTCAAATTCAAGCAAGCCCGAGAAAAGGCTCCATAGTGGGGTGGGTGGGGTGAGACCCCCCCAACTCACCTGTCATCTGATGTACCTGTTCTGTTCCCCAGTATGGTGAGCTCCTCATGCTGGCTGCGGGCACAGGCCTGGCCCCCATGGTGCCCATCCTGCAGAGCATCACAGACAATGCAGATGATGAGACCTTTGTCACTCTGGTCGGCTGCTTCAAGACTTTTGAGGGCATCTACCTGAAATCCTTCCTCCAGGAGCAGGCCCGTTTCTGGAACGTCCGTACCTTCTTTGTACTCAGCCAGGTGAGCCCAGGGTGGTGACTTCCTTCACCAAGACTCTGCTGTCCTCTTGCACCTGTCCTGAGCACCAGCTGTGGCCTCCCCACCCCATGCTGTAATAATAATTCCTGCCACTGGTGGAGCACCCACCGTGTGCCTGGCATGGAAGGCAGGTATCATCATGTTTATTATACAGGTGAGGAAATGGGAGCTCAGGGAGGTGAAGGTGGCAGCCGTGTCTTGCTGCTACATGGGGGCAAGACCAGGACTGGAGCCCAGGTCTGTGTGCTTCCTGAGCTCCAGCTTGCCCCACCATGCTTGCTGCCCCCCATCCGCCCTCTGGCATCATAAGTTACGCAGGCCAGAGGCCTGGCTGTGCAGTCAGAGGGCAGGCCACAGACGTCCTCCAGGCTGTGCTGAGTGCCTCAAGGCAGGGACCACATGTCAGGATTAGCACTCTCACTTCAGTGCTTAGCATAGTGGCAGGCACAGAGTAGGGGACTCAGACAGTGACTGATAGAGTAAACTGGATCCGAGTTCACTGCATTTATTAGGGTCCCTACCACCTTGGTTTGTCCCTCTCTGGGAGGATAGCTGCCATAAACTCATCAAGCTGCAGATTCTCTAGCAGAAGCGAGCCTACCACCTGATTCTCCGTCCCCTCTGTTCACTCAGGTGACCCTTCCTGGGCTCTCCCCCCAGGCCATAGTGTGGGGGACCATCTTTGCCCCTTATCTCAAGCCAGGCCCCCAGCTGCCTTGTTCACGTGCCGTCCCCCATCTGTATTTACTTCTCCTTTCTGCATCCCTGCAGGGGCCTCCCTTGCATTCCATGTTGCTCAGGGTCAGTCTTATTGCCCTGTACTGTAGAGCCCACTCTCATCAATTTCCTTTTTGAGGCAAGCTTTAGATAGTCCCTAAAGACTTAGGAGATCCCCAGCATTGTGGCTGGGGGCAGGAGGTCAGGAATCTGGATCTCCCTTCCTGGTACCAGAGTTCCTAGGGTCTCCAGGGCCCAGGGTCTGCGGGCCTGTCCAGGTGGTAGAATGCTCAGGCTCATGCTTGGTGAACATTAGTAGCATCAGGGAAGTGCCCAAGGCAGGGGACTGAAGCCAAGGCTGGTGTGCAGCCTGGGTGGTGGAGGGTGGGGGAAGGGCCACCGCTGCCCAAAGGTACAGTAAGCCCTGCCCGAGAGCCTGGGCAGTGACGGTGAGAGCAGGGGCAGGAAGGTAGCACCCAGCAGAGACACCCAGCTGTTGGCCAGCCTTCCTTTCTCTCCTCTGTTCCCCAACCACATGCCAGGTGTAAGGGACACAAAAATGGACATGACCCCTTCACTGCCCTCCAGACACTCACTGCCTATGGGGGAGAGCACCAGGGCTTGCTGATAACAGCTCCCCTTCCTTAACCACTTTCTCTGTGCCCAGCACCATTCAGAGCACTTTATATGTATTGACTCATTCAGTCCCCACCATGATCATACGAGGCTTGTGCTGCCATCATGCCCCTTTTACAGATGTGAAAACTGAGGCACAGAAAGATTAAGAACCTTGCTCAAGGTATCCCAGCTAACTGGTGGAGAGCTGGGTATAAACCAGGTGGTCCTGCCCAGAGGCCATGCTCTAAGTTGCTATCAGTGTAAGACAGCGCAGCACAGGTTCCGTGAGAGTGTTCAGGATGCTGGTGGTGAGGGCGGGCTTTGCAGAGCAGACGGTATAAACCAGGTGGTCCTGCCCAGAGGCCATGCTCTAAGTTGCTATCAGTGTAAGACAGCACAGCACAGGTTCCGTGAGAGTGTTCAGGATGCTGGTGGTGAGGGCGGGCTTTGCAGAGCAGATGGCATTTGAGCCTGGGCTTGAGGGTTGCACTGAAATTCACCAGCACGGAGGACTTTAGCCCTGGGCCAGAGCTTTGATGATGCTGGTGGACTGGGGTCGGGCAGGTGAGTGGGCTGGACTGCAATGGTAGGGGCAGGTGAAGGGGGTGACTGTGGTGGCTCCTGCCCATCACACTCCCTTGACTCAGGATACTCCTTCTCCTCCCTGGGCCACAGCAACAACATCCTCAAGCGTGTCCCAGCTCTAGCCACTCCCATTTGTCCTTTATCCTGCAGCCTGAAGGGCAGATCTGCCCCCACCCCCACCTTTCCCTGGCTCCTTGCTGCTCTCAGGACAATGTCCAAGTGCAGTGGCCTGCCAGCCTCTGCAGCCTGCCCTCCCTGCATGCTGTGTCCTGGTGTCACTGGTCTGCTCATGGATACAAGTGTGCCATGCTGTCCTGGCTGCTAGGCCTTTCCTCATGCTGTTAGCCCTGCTGGGAGAGCTCTTCCCACCTTCTTCACCTAACACTCACTCATCCCTCAGTCTCTTCAGAGGTGTAGCTCCGTCCTGGAAGCTCTCTCAGAGCCCCCAGGCTGGCGGTGATGTCTCTGCTGTCACAGTCCTGGCTCTCCTCCTTCACAGCACCCCCACTGCACTACCAGTGTTTATGGGGCTCAGGGTGACTAGCCCGAGGGAACTGGGCAGTGGGAAGGAGAGGCGAAGCAAGCTGCCATGGGGGGAGTGTGGGAAGATCCAGATTGTCAGAGAGGGTCCCCCTCATCAACACCAGAAGGCCCGCAAAGTCAGACAAGCACTGTGAGGCCTGGCTCCAGAGCCCTGTGCGTGCACCTGACAACAGAGGCCTCTGTTCACGAGCCTCTACCAGGGGTTGTGCTATCACTGTGGCTCGCCAGACAGTGCCTTTCCACAGCCAGTGCCCTCAGCACAACAGCTCAGAGAGGTCATGGTCACTCAGCCAGGAAGTGGCAGTGGAGCTAGGATTCCAGCTCCTCCTGTGTCCCCCAATCCTGCCTCTCTACCATCCTGGGATTTAACAGCTCGCCTTCATCGAATCTGCAGTGAAGGTCCTGCACTGGTTTTGGGTTTTTGTATTTGTGTGCTGGTTACATGGTTTCTTCTCTTCATTAAAATTCTTCAGACTGTATATACTTAATGATTTGTACACTTTTCTATGTGTATGTTATACTTCAATAAAATGTTTACTTAAAAAAATAGAAGAAATTGCTCCTAGTCAGCTGGAGGTGGAGCTTTCATTTTGTGGCCCTGAGGAAGAAAGCCACAAGCTAAGGCCGGAAAGGGCCAAAACAGAGATGGAGCCTGGCTCCCTTGGGGCATCGCACATCCCTGGAGTGCTTGCTAGCATAGCCTTCTTGTGGGACAGAAAGAAGCCCTTTCCTGGGGAAGGCACTGCTGACTGTGTCACATGCAGCCAGGATGGGGCCGGAGCCTTGTCTGTTTTGAGCAGCTGCCGTATCCCCAGTGCCCAGCATGGTGCACTCAGTACATATCTGTTAAATAAATAAGTCCACTGAAACCTTAAATGAATGGAAATTATGCTGCAAGGGTAATAGTGATGGATAACCTTGGAAAGAGTTTGGGAAACCCAGGGTCATGGGGAGAAGACAGAGGTGGCAAGACAGTGGGGCTCCAGTTCTAGTCCTGCCACTGCCCCTGCCTCACTGAGTGCCCTGAGGGAAGCCCCTGCTTCCTCGTTCCTCATCTGCTGTATGAGAGGAACAACCCACCCACAGGCTTGCACAGAGGGAGATGAGGAAGTGCCTGGCTCATGGTAGGGCTTGGCATGGGTTGGCTTCCACCCCCTCTGCCTCAGTTTCCTCATTTGGCAGAGAAGAGCTGGCTGGGTGAACTCTGAGGACCTCCCAACAGTTACCCCCGCTATTTCTTGTCTTCCCAGGAGAGCTCCCCAGAGAAGCTTCCCTGGAGTTACCGGGAGAAGACTCACTTTGGCCGCCTGGGCCAGGACCTAATTGAAGAGCTGCTCAGCTGCTGTCGGAGAAAGCCATTTGTATTGGTGTGTGGCTCAGTTGAGTTTACCAAGGACATGGCTAGGTGTTTGCTGTGTGCCGGCCTAACCAAGGACTCCTACTTCCTCTTTTAGTCTAGGCTTCCCCTCCAAAGCCCAGGCCAGGGCCTATTCCTATGACACAGGAAGGAGCACAGACTAAAATTTGAAGACACGGAGTCCAGGCCTGGCCCTGCTGCTAGCTTGCCAGGTGTCTTGGGGGCAAGTCTCTATACTTCCGTTTCTCATCTGCCCCATAAAGTTAATCATTCTCTCCCAGCCTCCTGCTGTGCAGAGGGAGGCCAGGGGCTATACGTGTTCCAAGGAGGCAAGCATCCAGCCTGGGAGTCAGGGAGGACTCCTTAGAGGAAGCCCAGTCCAGGCTGAGCTCCAGGATGAGTAGGATTTGGGCAGGAGAAGAGGCGAGAGGAGCTTCCCTGGCTCTCTGATTTAGAGGGTTTCTTGGGAGCTCCAACCATGGCCTCAGCACCAGCTCAGGTTAGGTGCTCCATCGGTATTTAGGGAATGATCCTAAAAGAAGCCAAGAGCCCTTTGGAGGAGGACCTTGCCTAAAGTACCTCCAGTGCCATGAGCCTAACATGCCGAAGGTCTTGGGTTCTTTGACTTGACCATGTTCTTAGAGCAAGGTGGGGCCCTGGATTACCTTTGTATTGGCCCCAAGCCTTTCCCACTGCAAACTGCTTTGCTCTCAGTGACCCTTCCCTGGCTCAAGAGCCCAGCTCAGAGTCCTTTCCCCAGTAAAAGAGAAGGCACAGGAAGCAAGTGCCCCTCCCTCCTCCTGCAGGCAGCAGGCTCAGCCTGTGCCTTCAGCTCCAGAGCCCTGGCAACAGTTGCTATGGAGATCTAAAGATAGAGCTGGAGTCCAGAGACCTGGGTTCCTCTCTTGGCTCTGCCCACTGAGCAGCAGCTGATTCCAGTTCACCCACCCATCTCCTTCCCACCCCACCCCTTCCATCCTGCACAAGGCATGCCCTGCCCAGGGAACCCAGCACCCCTGGGCAATGTACTGCAGTTAATGAATTCTGCTTTTCAAAGCCTAGGCTCCAGTGTATGCACCAGCTCAGGCTGTCTATAGGCCGTCCCAGAATCAGAATACTAAGCCATGGGATCTTAGAGTTAGACTTTTAGAGTCACAGAATTGCAGTCCTTATCACATCCATGCTGAAAGTTCAGGACACCAGAAAGCATTTAGTCCAACAGATTCATTGTATAAATGGGGAAACCAAGGTCCAATGAGGCTAAATGACTTGCTCAAGGAGAAACAGTCAATGTCAGAGCCAGCACAAAAAGTCTCCTAATCTCAACCCTGTGCTGAGTTCTGTACCAGTGGCTCCACAGGGCGCTAGAGTTCCTCAAATGGCAGTGGTGGAGGGACAGCCAGATGGGTCTCCAGGCCCCCCTTCAACCAGAGTCTACTTTTATCCCATTTATATATTGGAGTTTGGAGTAGTTTTCATTTGTGGAAAAGTATTTTCCTATTCTGCCCCAAAAGTTGCAACAAATCTCTGTGCATGCCATGTTCACTAAATCATGATAAGCAGCCAGAGGGTGGTGCCAAAGGTTTCATACTTTCTCAGGCAGTATTCTACAGTCACATACATATGGGGGACCCCAAAAGTTGCAACAAATCTCTGTGCATGCCATGTTCACTAAATCATGATAAGCAGCCAGGGGGTGGTGCCAAAGGTTTCATACTTTCTCAGGCAGTATTCTACAGTCACATACATATGGGGGATATGGTATGTGACCTTCTCCAAGAATCGTATGCATATGAGTGTAATAAGGCTCTGAGAAGACCAATGGTAAAGAAGCTTATTTAACTATGGAACACTTTTCTGTGGGTTTCTAGCACAGGGTAGTGAGTGGAAAAGGCACAGACTGAGATTCAGAGCTCCCGAGCAGGATCCGTGACCTCTTCTTCCCTAGCCTGTGACTTGGGCAAGGCACTTTCCTCTCTCGGGGCTCTGAAATCTGCAAGTTTTCATCCACCCTTTCCTCTCCCTCAGTTAGCACGTCCTATTGATTCTACTCACAGATACTCCTGGAGGGCCTGTTATAAGCGTGACTCTCTTGTAAGCACCAGGGAAGCAACAGTAAATGAGGCAGATGCAGCCCTTTCCATGGGGGAGCTGATAGCGTGGCACAGAAGGCAAATTTTAAACTTAATTCTAAGAGAGATGAGCATTATAAAGGGGAAGTATGGCGTGCTAGGAGGGTGGATGGCAGGGGCTTTAACATAGCCTAGGGGAGGGCCGAGGACATGCCACTGCCACTGAGGGTAAAGGCCTCAAAAACAATACTCTCATTCATAGTTAATGGTGTTAAGGGGATCCCCACTTAAGGAGTGGAGGGTCTGGGGAAGTTCTTGTCTGTCTTTGTCCCATTTTAGATATTTGATGTTTAAATATTAGACATGGCCACCCAGTGGTGACTGACAGCCCCTCTTGTCCTAGAATGTGTTGTCCTCGCCTTCCGCTCACTCCATGTAGGGTCTATGCAGTCTGGTGGCTGGTGGGGTCTCATCATGGGACACTGATGAGGACCCAGCCAACCCTTAGTGCCAAGATCCACTCAAAAGGGCTCCTGTCTTCTGGAAACTTGAGAGGTCATGGCTGGGTGCTGTGCCTCTCAAGATGCTAAGCGAGCCCAAGAAGAAGAGGACAGGTGGAGATGTGTGAGGACAGAGCTCTTGGAATTGGGGGTGAAGTCTCCATCAGCTGGCCCATTCCTTCTATCTCTCCTGACAATGCCCCCGCTGTGGCAGTGTGCTGTTGGGCAGTGATGCAATGGGAGAAAGGAGATTATGAGCTAGACAGGACACAAAGGTAGCAGGAAAGAGGTCAACAATGTGTCCACAATTTTGTGAGCCAGACATAGCTGTCTTTTCTGAATGAGCCCAAGCTTCAGGAAGGCCACAGCTGCTAAAGGGACTGTGGGGCAGACTATTGGTAGCAAAAGCGACGACTGCTTTAGTTCAGCCCTCACTGTTTTGCTTGCACCACTTCAGCATTCCCTCATTGGTCTCCCAGCCCCCAGTCTCTCCCCTCATCCCCCTCCACACTGTGACCAGACCACTTTTCCTAATGTGCAAATCTGAGCCTGTCTCTACTCTGCTTAAAATCCTTCAATGACTCCCTGTTACCCTCAGGATATGGCATCTCAGCTCTGCTTACCTCTCCACACTTATTTTGTGCTGCTGCCCCCTCGCACCCACCTCTTTCACTCTAAACCTGTTCTCTGCATCAGTCGGGGCCCTTCGCATGTGCCACTCCCTCTGCCTGGCCAGCCTACCCCTTTCCATCTCCCACTTGCTGTTCTTTGCCTCCTCATCTTCTGAGCTCTTAGCTCACTGTCGCTTCCTCTGGGAAGCCTCGCCTGCTGAATTAGTGAGCGGAGATGCTTATGTGCTCTTCTGTTGCCGCGCCCATCAGAGTTTCTCATTCACATGTGAGCACAGCAAGGGCCTGTGCCAGGGCCTGTCCACCACATCTCCAATGGGGGAGAGTGCTCAGTATGTCCTAAGTGTTGAATACCTGAGTGATAAACAACTGATATTCACGGACTGCTTTACAGGTGGCAAGATGCTTTTCCTCTACATTGAAGCTTGTGATCTCTGATATGCATGCTATTTTATTATCCCAATTTATGAATGAGGAAACTGAGCTTCTGAAACATTGAGCAATTCTCCAGAGTCATGTAGGGGTACACAAATTCCAACATGTTGCAATTGTCATAAAGGTTTGTGACACATGAGTATAGCCAGAGATGTGTATAAAGATTTTTATTGTTGCATCATTTGAAATAGCAAAGAATAAGAACTACCTATATGTCCATCAAAGAGAGAATGTAGAAACAAACAGTTCTGTATCCATACAGTGGAATACTACACAGCAGTTAAAATGAACGAAGGGGATCTACACATATCAGCATAGACTTAATCCTAAAAGCGTAACAATGGAATGAAATGCACATGTAAAGGAATAGGTACAGTGAGATACCTGTACTTGGAAATTGTGAAAACCCAAAATAATGCTAAATGTTCCAGAGGAGACTTCAAGGATAGTGATGACCTCTGATGATAGACAGAAGGGAATGGGATAGAAAGGAATAGGTACAGTGAGATACCTGTACTTGGAAATTGTGAAAACCCAAAATAATGCTAATTGTTCCAGAGGAGACTTCAAGGATAGTGATGACCTCTGATGATAGACAGAAGGGAATGGGATAAGGTGGTGGGGTTTTAGCCATATCTGTATTTGTTTTTTATTACAAAAATATTTGAAAGGAACATGGCAAAATATGAACATCTGGTAAATCTGGGTAATGGGTTCCCAATGTCTGCTATGGTCTTTTCTGTGTTTGAAATTGTTCCATCAATTAAGTTTTTTGCAAAATATGAACATCTGGTAAATCTGGGTAATGGGTTCCCAATGTCTGCTATGGTCTTTTCTTTTTCTGTGTTTGAAATTGTTCCATCAATTAAGTTTTTTGTTTTTTTTTTTAATATCCATTGTGCATGGTCAATGCTTTTCAGAAACTAGGGGCTTAAAAACATTCACTCCTTCTCTTCCACCCAAGAATACGCTATGCCCTTATTGCCTCCAAGCTTTTTATTCATTCATCTAAGACCCTTTGTGAGCACGTGCTGTGTGCCATGCCCTGTTCTAGGTGTAGGAGACACAACAGTCAATAGTAGAATCCATTCCTGGCACTTACAGCTGACAGGCTGTTCCTTCTGCTTGTCTCTTTTCTTCAGAAACTTAAACCAGAATAACTTTCCAGACACCATAGTGTTGGGCTCTTTTTTCCTTTCTTTTTTTGTTTTTATTTTGTTTTCTTTTTTAAATGGAACACTCCTAGGTTTAAGTCTCCTACTGATTCATGGCAAGTACCTTGGCCTCTCTGAGCCAGTTTGCTCATCTGTAAGATGGTTATGGTGGCACTGTCTCCCAGGGTTGTGTGAGGATGAGGGAAACGTGTAAACCCCAAGCACAACACCTGGCACAGAGTGGATATAAGACCCGGGCCCCTCCTTCTTTCCTCTCCCTGATGGCCCTCCCCAGCAGTGCCCAGCTCATGGCTGACCCCTGAGGATAGCATTTGTTTTCAAACTTCTCACTGTCAAGAACTCCCCTTTTTATCATTTTCCCCATGCTTTGGAAGATTTTGATCCCAAATTGCATGTTTTAAGTCATTATTAATTTATCTCCCATTTTTTATTAATCACAGACATAGAGAGCTGCCCTTCAGAGCTCTGATCTATACATCCAGCTGGGAGCTGCACGTGGTTGACATAATTCCAGCCTGAGGCAAAGGAACTCAACTGTGTGTGTGGTCTGGGTGGCCTGAGGAGGGGTAAAAGTAGATGCATCTTACTCTTTTTTTTTTAATTGGCCATGAGTCCTGGAAGCTGCTGGCCTTGCCCAGGTGGGTGCTGCTCCCCAGGTGGTCACTGACTGGTGGGCTGGTGGCTGAGTTTTCAGTGCCAGGCTCTAGTGTGAGGCCCCATGTGGGTCCCCCCGGGACTCACTCCAAATAGATGGCATGCACCAGTGCCACACAGAAGAGCATGGGGCTCACACAGTGGGAGGTGGCAAAGCAGTCTGCATGTGGTTCCCATAGGCTCTAGCTGGAGACCACCACACCATCCCACCCCTTGCTCCCTATTCTGATGGAGCACACTAGCTTGTAGTCGGGTGGGGTGACAGCCTTGACCAGGTCCCAGATCTCAGCACTCTGAGCCGCGGCCAAGAGGGCACACTGGGCTATATGGTAGGCCATACTGGCCAGCTTGGAGGGCAAGTGAGACTGCATCATGTCCTCCACCTCTGGCCTGGCTGACCTCAAGGGAACCTGGAAGGAGGAGA